CCAGTGGAACTTACAAATTTGCCCCTTTGATGGGACTGAACTCGGTTACTGTGCCCCTCCCTGTTTATTCCCAAATTCTCCATCATTAATCCCATCTCCAAGGCGAGGACGGTGGTCATGGAATCAGAGATTGGGGATGTGATCAGGCCCGAAGGCTAGGCTATCTGGGATGGGACTGACTTCCACCAGACCTGCTATTATACCGAGGACAACAACAGGGGACCCAACGGCGACCCCAGGCCTAGGGCCCAGTGAGTCAAGAAGCACGACCCCATCAACAAGAAGGAGGCGTCCCTCTTCCTGATCGAGAACTGGCTGGGGGACGTCACCTGGCTGAGGGACGCCGGGGCCAAGTTCATCGACGGCTTCGTCAAGAGCTAGTTAGTTCAATCAAATCACTATCTAGGTTGTTAATTAAATGCTCGATTGGCTTGGACCCGCCATGCATCAAGCACGTTGGATTTTAATTTGTTACCTTAAATTTTTATTAAATATTTTGTCATGAAATTTTTTTTAAAATATTTTTATTTGTAATTGTTTTAGGAAATTATAAATGAACAGTGAGGTGAATTCCTCTCCTCTTTTATTGTTGTTATTGCTATTTTATTATCAGTTCTTTCTTTAATTTATTGTGGACATAGCCGAAGCGCTTATTAGGACTAAGATCGCAAGGCAACAACATCAAACAATAATAGAAAAGAATTATGCGTGTTAGTTCTAACTTTCAGCTAGTGTTATTTATAATATAAGGGTTAGTTCTAGTGGTATGTTAGTTCTAGTTGAGCTCCTATTAGTTCTGGTGGTTCTCGTGTTAGTTTTAGCTGATGTTATGTTGGTTCTGATATAAACATTAGTTCTAGTGTCTATGTTAGTTCTAGTTGAGCCCATGTTACTTCTGGTGGTTCTCGTGTTAGTTCTACCTGATGCCATGTTAGTTCTAACTTCAAACTAGTGTTATTTCTAATATAAGTGTTATTTATAATGGTATGTTAGTTCTAGTTGAGCTCCTAAAAGTTCTGGTGGTTCTCGTGTTAGTTTTAGCTAATGTCATGTTGGTTCTAATTCCAGCTAGTGTTTATTCTAATATAAGCGTTAGTTCTAGTGGCTATGTTAGTTCTAGTTGAGCCCATGTTAGTTCTGGTGGTTCTCGTGTTAGTTCTAGCTGATGTCGTGTTAGTTCTAACTTCCAGCTAGTGTTATTTCTAATATAAGCATTAGTTCTAGTGGTATGTTAGTTCTAGTCGAGCTCCTGTTAGTTCTTATGGTTATCGTGTTAGTTTTAGCTGATGTCGTGTTGGTTCAACTTCCAGCTAGTGTTGGTTCTAATATAAGCGTTAGTTCTAGTGGCCATGTTAGTTTTAGTTGAGCCCATGTTAGTTCTGGTGGTTCTCGTGTTAGTTCTACCTGATACCATGTTAGTTCTCACTTCCAACTAGAGTTATTTCTAATATAAGTGTTAGTTCTAGTAGTATGTTAGTTCTAGTTGAGCTCTTGTTAGTTCTGGTGGTTCTCGTGTTAGTTTTAGCTGATGTTATGTTGGTTCTACTTCAAGCTAGTGTTGGTTCTAATATAAGCGTTAGTTCTAGTGGCTATGGTAGTTCTAGTTGAGCCCATGTTAGTTCTGGTGGTTATCGTGTTAGTTCTACCTGATACCATGTCAGTTCTAACTTCCAGCTAGTGTTATTTCTAATATAATCGTTAGTACTAGTTGAGCTCTTGTTAGTTCTGGTAGTTCTCGTGTTAGTTTTAGCTGATGTCATATTAGTTCTACTTCCAGCTAGTGTTGGTTCTACTATAAGCGTTAGTTCTACTGGCTATGAGAGTTCTAATTGAGCCTATGTTAGTTCTGGTGGTTGTCGTATTAGTTCCAGCTGATGTCATGTTAGTTCTAACTTCTAGCTAGTGTTCTTTCTAATATAAGTATTAGTTCTAGTGGTCCGTTAGTTCAAGTTGAGCCCATGTTAGTTCTAGTGGCTCTCGTGTTTGTTCTATCTGATGTCGTGTTAGTTCTAAATTGCAGCTAGTGTTATTTCTAATATAAACGTTAGTTCTAGTGGTCTGTTAGTTCTAGTTGAGCCCATGTTAGTTCTAGTGGCTCTCGTCTTAGTTCTATCTGATGTCGTGTTAGTTCTAAATTATAGCTAGTGTTATTTTTAATATAAGTGTTAGTTTTAGTGGCTATTTTAGTTCTTGTTGAGTCTATGTTAGTTCTGGTGGTTCTCGTGTTAGTTCTACCTGATGTCATGTTAATTTTAACTTTCAGGTAGTGTTATTTCTAATATAAGCGTTAGTTCTAGTGGTCTGTTAGTTCTAGTTAAGCCCATGTTAGTTCTATCTGATATCGTGTTAGTTCTAAATTGCAACTAGTGTTATTTATAATATAAGCGTTAGTTCTAGTGGTCTGTTAGTTCTAGTTGAGCCCATGTTAGTTCTAGTGGCTCTCGTGTTAGTTCTATCTGATGTCGTGTTAGTTCTAAATTACAGCTAGTATTATTTCTAATATAAGCATTAGTTCTAGTGGCTATGTTAGTTCTAGTTGAGCCCATGTTAGTTCTGGTGGTTCTCGTGTTAGTTCTAACTGATGTCATGTTAGTTCTAACTTTCAGCTAGTGTTATTTCTAATATAAGCGTTAGTTCTAGTTGAGCACTAGCTAGTGTTATTTCTAATATAAGCATTAGTTCTAGTGGTATGTTAGTTCTAGTCGATCTCCTATTAGTTCTGGTGGTTTTCGTGTTAGTTTTAGCTGATGTCGTGTTGGTTCTACTTCCAGCTAGTGTTGGTTCTAATATAAGCGTTAGTTCTAGTGGCTATGTTAGTTCTAGTTGAGCCCATGTTATTTTTACCTGATGCCATGTTAGTTCTAACTTCCAACTAGTGTTATTTCTAATATAAGTGTTAGTTCTAGTGGTATGTTAGTTCTAGTTGAGCTCCTGTTAGTTCTGGTGGTTCTCGTGTTAATTTTAGCTGATGTCTTGTTAGCTCCACTTCCAGCTAGTGTTGGTTCTAAAATAAGCGTTATTTCTAGTGGCTATGGTAGTTCTAGTTTAGCCCATGTTAGTTCTGGTGGTTATCGTGTTAGTTCTACCAGATGCCATGTTAGTTCTAACTTCCAGCTATTGTTATTTCTAATATAATTGTTAGTTCTAACTTTTAGCTAGTGTTATTTCTAATATAAGTATTAGTTCTAGTGGTATGTTAGTTCTAGTCGAGTTCCTGTTAGTTATGGTGGTTCTCGTGTTAGTTTTAGCTGATGTCGTGTTGGTTTTACTTCCAGCTAGTGTTGGTTCTAATATAAGCGTTAGTTCTAGCAATTATGTTAGTTCTAGTTGAGCCCATATTAGTTCTGGTGGTTCTCGTGTTAGTTCTATCTGATGCCATGTTAGTTCTAACTTCCAACTAGTGTTATTTCTAATATAAGTATTAGTTCTAGTGATATGTTTGTTCTAGTTGAGCTCCTGATAGTTCAGGTGGTTCTCGTGTTAGTTTTAGCTGATGTAATATATGTTCTACTTTCAGCTAGTGTTGGTTCTAATATAAGCATTAGTTTTAGTGGCTATGTTAGTTCTAGTTGAGCCCATGTTAGTTCTGATGGTTCTCGTGTTAGTTCTAGCTGATGTCATGTTAGTTCTAACTTCCAGCTAGTGTTATTTCTAATATAAGCATTAGTTCTAGTGGTATGTTAGTTCTAGTCAAGCTCCTATTAGTTCTGGTGGTTCTCGTGTTAGTTTTATCTGATGTCGTGTTGGTTCTACTTCCAGCTAGTGTTGGTTCTAATATAAACGTTAGTTCTAGTGGCCTTGTTAGTTCTAGTTGAGCCCATGTTAGTTCTGATGAATCTCGTATTAGTTCTACCTGATGTCATGTTAGTTCTAACTTCTAACTAGTGTTATTTCTAATATAAGCGTTAGTTCTAGTAGTATGTTAGTTCTAGTTGAGCTCCTATTAGTTCTGGTGGTTCTCGTGTTAGTTTTAGCCGATGTCTTGTTGGTTCTACTTCCAGCTAGCGTTAGTTCTAATATAAGCATTAGTTCTAGTGATTATGGTAGTTCTAGTTGAGCCCATGCTAGTTCTGGTGGTTATCGTGTTAGTTCTACCTGATGCCATGTTAGTTCTAACTTCCATCTAGTGTTATTTCTAATATAATCGTTAGTTCTAGTTGAGCTCTTGTTAGTTCTGGTAGTTCTCGTGTTAGTTTTAGCTGATATCATATTAATTCTACTTCCAGCTAGTGTTGGTTCTAATATAAACGTTAGTTATAGTGGCTATGGGAGTTCTAGTTGGGCCCATGTTAGTTCTGATGGTGGTCGTATTAGTTCCAGCTGATGTCATGTTAGTTTTAACTTCCAGCTAGTGTTATTTCTACTATAAGTGTTAGTTCTAGTGGTCTGTTAGTTCTAGTTGAACCCATGTTAGTTCTAGTGGTTCTTGTGTTAGTTCTATCTGATATCGTGTTAGTTCTAAATTACAGCTAGTGTTATTTCTAATATAAACGTTAGTTCTAGTGGTCTGTTAGTTCTAGCTGATGTCGTGTTAGTTTTAGCTGATGTCGTGTTGGTTCTACTTCCAGCTAGTGTTGGTTCTAATATAACCGTTAGTTCTAGTGGCTATGTTAATTCTAGTTGAGCCCATGTTAGTTCTGGTGGTTCTCGTGTTAGTTCTACCTGATGCCATGTTAGTTCTAACTTCCAACTAGTGTTATTACTAATTTAAGCGTTAGTTCTAGTGATATGTTAGTTCTAGTTGAGCTCCTGTTAGTTCTGGTGTTTCTCGTGTTAGTTCTAGCTGATGCCATGTTACAGCTAGTATTATTTCTAATATAAACGTTAGTTGTAGTGGTATGTTAGTTCTAGTTGAGCTCCTGTTAGTTCTGGTGGTTCTCGTGTTAAGTTAGAACTAACATGAAGTGAGTTAAAACCAACATAAAATGAGTTAGAACTAACAAAGAGCCCAAAATTTGTAGACATTGTTTACATTGATTTGACAAATTCAGGCATAGTGATAACTACAAAAAGACATCATTTTCATCTCCGTCAAACATACGCATCAAATATCCATATATTTACAAAGTTTAACAAAGTTAAATGAAATCCAAAAGTACCAAGAGAAAAAAAGACGCACAATAACAACCCAACACAAGGCAAAAACTAACCAATGATCTACAGCCAATTCCTTGCACGCTCTAAAAAAAATCTGAGCTAAGAACTAGCTAAATCATAAGAGACTTCTCTCTCCTTTGTTAGTACCATGCACTACCGAAAAACAAAATGATAGCCGAAACTACAAAATTAGTTATTAATCTTGACATTTCTTGCTTTCATCCTCAGCACATAAGGAGGGAATAGACCTCATGCTTTTGACTTCATTGCTCGTATAAATGAAGATTTTCTTCACCATCTTGCAAAACTCCCTATAGTTTATCAAAATTTAAAAACAAATTAGCATACTAACAATCTAAAAGATGATAAATTGAAGATCAAAGACAAAGAGAATTAGAGATAATTACGGCCATGGATCATCTCCAACCAGCATCATATCACCTTCATCATCTGTGAAGACAACTTCCCATTTATTCCGATGTTGTAGCTCTCCTTTTATCTCAAACATCTTTTCGAGCTCCATTATCAGCTCATTATATCCTTCTAAGGCCGTAAGATCCACAGCTCGTCCTACTGCAATCCCTCGCATATGAACCTTTTTTTCAACCACAAGTCAGCACACTTCTAATCATTGGACGACTATCACAAAGTAGATTATGTAAATTAAAAGATTTTACCTTGGTGCGAGTTCTTGTAGAATTGGTGTGTTTGCTTTGGATATCCTTTGGAGAAGCCTGCAGACCGCTTTCTTCCCTTTTAGAAACTTTAGAGATATCTGACTGCTGCTCGGAGCCATCCACTAAGGCAGTGGCTTGAACTGGATTTTGACTGGTGGAAGTTGGAATATGAACAGGTTTCATGGTACTATTTGAATGGCTAATCAGATCAATACCAAAGAGTCTGCAACAAGGAGTACTATCAAGTTTGTTAGATTTTTGGGACATGTAGCCCAACATCAAACTGGGTTCATCACTAGCAGAATCGTGTATCGAATGCCATTTTGATAAAGTGCTTTTTGTCTCTCCCTTTGTCTCTTGGAACCAATTAAGATGAATATTATCCAGTGTAGATGATGAACTCTTTAATGGAGAATCTAATGGATTTATGCTCCGAGATTTGGGGCTCTCAAGGAAACTATTGGAGCCATTGCCTGTATTTTCTAACAACTTGCGGGTCCATACAATTTCAGTTTCGCAATTCAGAGCATCACTGCTGCTTATATTATCAGATTCACGAGATTGTGTAGTCCTTGGATACCATGACACTGAGGAGACATCTACAAACCGAAAGGAAAAATTAGAGGAAACAAAAACGAAGGTTCAGGTAAAATATCATTTGGGATTTTCATATTCACCTTCTCTGCTAAGTGAAGGGAGGTCAATAGCTGACCAAAATCTTTTGCACTTGAGAGGAACTGGTTGAGGAGCATTTACATTGTTCCTGGATGCAGTTGAAGGCTCTATTTCCCATGGTGAAACTCTTTCTGGTCTTTCGATATTGGCAGGTTCATCCCATCGAACCTGAAAAATATACAAAAATTTAATATTAGGGCCTGGATGATGAATTTAAAGTATGCAATGCGAGAAGAAGAAAAGAGATTATTTACTTTCAAAGATCTCCACTTAGAATCAACCCATTGAGATAAAGTATCCCCTGTTCCAATAATCATTCCTGCAAACCTGGGAGATTGATAAGAATCAGAAATTTGAATACATGACCATAATATAGGCACAAACGAGTTATGACGAAAACAATGAGAAAATACCTTTTCTCTGGAACATCTTCTCCCTCAAATCTCATCCTGAATCTCATACCAACTGCGAATTGATTATTAACTGCCTCCAAATATTTGTTCACACCCACAATAAATTGACTAGTCCTGGTTTTGGATAAACTTCATAAGCAATATGCCTCAATAAACTAATTTGTTTCATAAGAAGGCATATAGAATCTGAACCTTGGCTTATAATAAACGGTAAAGAGGGTTTGAGTTGAAACGGCGTGGGAAGCAGTAGCAAGAACTCCAAGGTGCATGCTGTGACTCGATATAACAGAAGATGGCATCGAGCTCTGGCGCCGAACAATTCTCCTCACCCCCACTCTTAGTTCTCCATTCTCACCTCTATTTATGCAACACAAACTATTAGCATTAACAAAAACGATTTGCTAATTTGATAACAGAAGAGAAAGAACAAATGATACCTCATGAACACAAATGCATCACCAGCAACTAATCTCTTCGACGTTACAAATGTGCTCCATCCAGTTGTGAGCAAATGCCTCCTCGGTTGACCTAAGGGACATAAAGGTTATATAATTGAACCGATTTTCAGACCACTATCAATGAAGTAGGTGTTTTATATCATGAATCGTAATAATACGAATAAAGAGATGACCAAGACCTCTGAATATGTGCTTGAATCGCCATTCAAATCCGTGGAGATCCTTTGCAGCCAGCTCTTGGGTTGGCGTTTGTTGTGACATATCCTAACATTAAGACAACCCAAATCAGCTCAATGAGAATAACAAGATCTAATAGCAAACTTGGTAGAAGTGAAGGAAAAAGAGGAAATTTTTTGAACTCACTAGCGGAGGGAGGCACTCATTGGCATGTCTTCTAAGAACAGAGAAGCCCCCATGAGTGCTCGTGTCGGAGGCTGTTAATATCTTACAAAACGAGTAAACTTGTGATCTTGGAGGCTCTTGCTGAACTGGATCAGGACATTTAGGCTCATCTTGCTGCCAATATTCATTTCAAAATTCGATATGCATTCAAAACATCAATAAACAAAAGAGTCTAAAATATCCATAATCAAAACAATAGACCCACAAAATATCAAAACACAAATTGAGCTCTTACATCGGATTCGGGCATCAGAGTAATCTGAGCGTAGACTTCATCAGTTTCAGCCTCAGCCTAACAAAAATGAAAATGAATTATTTCAACAAAGTATCCTTCATAAACCATAAGAAGTTAGAGTGAAAATGGAAAAAAAAAAAATTCTCACTCTTAGCTGAATGTTAACAACAGTACAGAGAATCTTAGAAGGGAGGTTAAACAGGGGAATCTGCTGATTCAGCTCCTGGTTCGTTGAAGCCTCCAACTGCAAACCAACACAGAACTTAACCATTTTCAAACAGAATTCTACCACTTAAACTCAAAAATAGAGAAGAAACAACGAATACAAAAAGCTTGACTTCCCCCTATTAATAATTATACTATTAGAAATTGTTTTTAAGTGTTATCTTAATTCACCTGCTCCATGTGACCTTGAGGGAAGTAGTAAACCCTTTCCCCAATCTTTGGCACTTCCACAAGAGGCCCAGCGCATGCTTTCCATAGCTCTTCATACAAACTCTCATCTCCATAACCTTTTTCGGGGAGAAACATTATCACAATTGACCCTTAAACGCTTTAGAGTCCAAAAGAAGAAGCTTTAGATGAAACCTAATTAGCACCCAAGTGAAGAACTAAAATCGACACGTTAAAACTCGAAAAATGAAGATTTCGAAGTGACCCATTATTAGTTAGAACTCAAAAACAAAACCCTTTAAGAGAAGCTCACCAGAGTATGGCTTCCTACTTGACTGGCTTGATTGAGAGCCCGATCCAGACGCCATGAAATGAAGTAAAGCAACTCTCTCTCTCTCTCTCCTCCCTCTCTCTCTCTCTCTCTCTCTCGCTCTATAATTATATATGAAAGTATCTCGTAATGACGCAATTAATTGGAAGAAGTATTGGCATTAAAGAGCAGCTACGATTCGACTCCGGAAACCGCTCTCACAAATTTCTCGGTGCAGAAGAAAAGCTTGAGAGTGTGGAGAGAGAAAGGAAGAGTTTTATTAAGGCTAAATATAATAAGGGGAAATTGGTTCTAGCCCCCAACTTTTTTACAAGTATTACGCCTGCCCTAAGACTTTTTCAACGTTCCCAAAATCCTTAAAAGTAAAGTTATAATTCCCTGAGCCACAAAACACAAAACCCAAGAGTTTAAAACATGTGAAGACCATAAAACCATTTCCTCCTCTCTCTCTCATGATGTTACTGGGATGATTTAAAATGGGTTTTGGGGGGAAAATTCCAGTTCCCTCCAAATTTTTTCAACGGCGTCGACATCAGCGGGAAAACTTTCCCGGTGTTCGTCATCGACGGCGAAGAAAACTATGATCTTGAAGACGGTGATGACGAGTTACGTCGCCACCCCCCTTAAGTTTACATATTGTTGTAATTTTTTTTAAATCGATGACTTCAGATTAACGTAGAATATTATTGTCGTTATTTCACTGTAATAAGTTTGTTGTTAAACTTATGAGTTGATAGTTAATGAAGGTTACGTGTTGGTATTGAAGGTTACGAATTGGGTGTGAAGGTTACGCGTTGGTTGTGAATGTTAAGTGTTGGTTGTCAATGCTACGAGTTGGTTATGAAGGTCACGTGTTGGTTGTTAAGGTTACGAGTTGGTTGTGAAGGATACACGTTGGTTGTGAAGGTTACGCGTCGGTTATGAAGGTTACGAGTTAGTTGTGATGGTTATGAGTTGGTTGTGACGGTTATGAGTTGGTTGTAAAGGAAGGTTACATGTTGGTTTTGAAGGTTACGAGTTGGTTGTGAAGTTTACGAGTTAGCTGCCAATGGGTACGTGTTGGTTGTGAATGTTATAAGTTGGTTGTGCAAAGGTTACGAGTTGGTTGTGAATGATACATGTTGGTTGTGAATGTTAAGAGTTGGTTGTAAAGGTTATACGTTGATTGTGAAGGTTGTGCGTTGGTTATGAAGGTTACGAGTTAGTTGTAAATGATATGCATTGGTTGTGAAGGTTATGAGTTGGTTATGATGGTTACGTATTGGTTGTGAAGGTTATGAGTTTGTTGTGAGGGTTAGTTAACAACAATCACAATCAACTCATTGCCGAGGCTCACAACTAACTCGTAACCTACACAACTCAAAACCTTCACAACAAACACATAAACTTCACAACCGACGCGTAACCTTCATAACCAACTCGTAACCTTCACAACCAATGCATAACCTTCACAACCAACATTTATCTTTCACAACCAACTCATAACCTTGACAACCAACGCATAACATTCACAACCAACGCGTAACCTTCACAACCAACTCGTATCCTTGACAAACAGCGCGTAACATTGACAACCAATGCATAACCTTCACAAGAAACTCGTAACATTCACATAACCAACTCGTAACATTCACAACCAACTCGTAACCTTTAAAACCAACACGTAACCTTCCTTCACCACTGTAGAGGAGTAAAATCTGGGTCTCGATGCGAGATATGTATCGATAAGAATGGTTTATTACAAATCAATGAATCCAAAAGTTTCAACAGGCGGAGAGAAGACCCTCTTTGTTTAACATGGGTTCTTCGGTAGCGATAGGATGTCTCTCTCGATGCTTGTATCGAGTTTACTTTCCTTGAACAATCCGATCGAAATTACGGTTGAGCTTCAGTATGCAGTAGAAGCTCTCATGTGATTGAGTTCAATTATACCCAAGCTTGGTGAGTACCAAGGCCGAATGCTTAGAGAAGGCTAATATGCAAGAGTTTGGAAAGAGCCAAGAGCTCCAAATCTAAGAGTTCAGATTGAGTCTGCTTTAATAACCCAAACAAAAAAAGCTAGAAAAGTACTACCAAGCAGGCCAATGAGAGAGCCTCTATCTGAAGAGCCTTGGAGATGCTAAGCTTTCCTGAGAAATATTGCCAGCCTAACTGAATTGAACCCAGCTGAACCTTCTGGCTTGTTGGCAAAGGGGTTCTATAAATAGGCAAAGGATGGCATGGGCCTATTGGCAATGGGCGAGCCACATGTCTGCAGGCGGTCTCTAACGCTTGCCAGCTAAGGTGATGCCTTGCCTTCACGAGCTCGATCCGAGCCGTTGAATCGGTGACGCCTTTGATCTAAACTGTCGATTCAACGAGTGATCGTGGTCCGAACCGCTAAATTTGGGTCGTTCATTTTGGAATTCCAAACGTCCTACCACGCTTGCGGCCGTTCGATTCGGACTGTCAAATCGAACCATTGTAGGCAATCAGTACCGCTCGTATCGGTTATGATGGCGGATCTCGGTGGTTGAGATTAATTTATATAAGATGTTCGTCTCCCTCATCAGGAGACTACTGTTCCATTTGAAACTTTCAAGCCTTCAAAGAAAACTTGAGCTCTCATCCTCATTTTCTCTTCTCTTCGAGCTCGAAATGGCCCCAAATGCAAGGTGCTCGTCTCTAAGGGGAAGAAGGACGCTACTTCTTCCAACACCGCTATTGGCATTGTCGTCGTTGCTGCCACCGACGCAACTCGACCTAACCATGGTAAGTCGAGGGGACTGAAAGTGAAAAAGATGAACAAACTTCTATTCATCTTCTAGCGAGCTTCGTCTAATCAGGCGACGCTTTGCTATTCTAGCGAGCTTGCCTGTCAGGTGAGCTTTCCCTCATCGGGCAAGCTCTACTTGATCGGCGAGCTGTTGCCTTCTTAGGCAAGCTCCATTATCCTACTTGCGTGATGGGGCTCGCATGTACTTCGCAGGCCGCCTGTCCTCAAGACTTAGAAAATTTTTGATCTTTTGGGTCCAAAATTTCTAACTTCTTTCTGTTGTATTTTTGCAGCTCGAGAGAAGGCCCCGATTGTTAGGCCTCATAATTTAAAGTCTTCTGGGAAGAGACCTCTCACTGCAGAGGAAACAGATTGGCATGAGGAGATCGCTTGTAAAGGGAGACCATCGAGACCCGAAATCATCACGATCTCTGATGATGAGGAGAAGGAAGAGCCTACCTCAACACCTGCTCGGACACATACCCCGTAGTCTAAGTATAAACCTGGCTTTTCTAACCCGGTTAGCATAGGAGGATCTGGGTTGAAGCCATCTGTCGATTACGACGGGCCTCTCCCTTAATTTCAGGTCATTGCTATGATTGCCCCTGGCTAGGAATTTGCATACCCAGACTCCGGATCCGCACAGGGCCTCCTCCAAAGGTTGGAGAATGCTATGAAACAAGCAGTCTCCATCATTAGTCTTGGGTGGGGAAAATTTTATGATTTGCTCTCCTTCGTAGCGGATAGTCTTAATGATATTCAGCGTGTAGGCAGCCTCTAGCTAGCTAGGCGATGTGAGCAAAAACTCATTCACCTGGAGAAAGTTATGTACCGCTTAGAAAAGCTGGTATGCTCTGACCCACGTGACGAGGTGACGTCACTCATAATCGAAGCCCGGATTTAGAGGATGCATGAGCGTAAAGTCTGAGCGAAATGCATATAGAAGTAAGAAGTTATCATCGTGGATTTGCACGAGCGGCAACGTCGTTTGCAGACTAAGATAGATGCTTATAACAACATCGCTGATCGTACGGGGGTCAGAACTGCCCAGGGTGAGGTGATTATGAAGGACTTCCACGGTTAGAACGCAAGAGTTCACCATGCTATCATAAAAGAACTACAAGCTCTCCATGCTTTTCGTCGAGAAGAAGTGGCTAATG